GTTTGTTAAGTGTTGCTATAGCTGTAATATCTTGAATCTTGAAGCACGTTTAAACTTTAAACGTATCGCTATTCGAAACGATGCATTTGCACGAACTCCCTTGATTGTTTTCGTGAATGGTATTCGCCTCTAAAGTGGCGTCTTCGCTTTCCAACGTTCTCTGGCAATATTTTAAAATTCCATCGCCTTTATGAAATCAGACACTCCTAACGGTGGACTGTCGACGAGTTGCAGAAGTTTTTGAGCGAGCTACTTCGATTGAGATGGAAATGAGACATAATGAACGAAGTAACTGTCGTTATTACGTTACGAAACGGTTTTACGAGTTCTTGTTTCTCGGTAAATGAAGAGGTAGCAGAAAATACGATGAATCATCGTAGACGTTGTAAATTCGGTAAATTCCTTCATCTTAAAGAACGATTTCAGTATTCAGCAGGCACTTGTAAAACGCGGATGTCACCTTGAATCTCACTGAAAGTAACGTTTTACGGTTCGTATAAACAATATGAATTTCAATGAGTTCGTCGAGTTGGCACAAAGTTCGGACAATTATTCACCATGTAACATCGTTGGATCTGGCTGCATAACAAATAAAAGGAGAAGAAGATTCTTTGGTAGACGAGACTCGAAACGAGGACATCGATGTCACGAGGCGTACGACGCGGAGAATTTTCAAAGCTCGAATATCGCTTCTGCCTGGCACAGAGTCCCTTTGGTGAATTTGATTTAACTTCCAGAAAATCTGCTTGAAAAATCACAGAAAACCGTTCCATTTCGCGAAGCTTTTACGCCGATCTTAAAGAGGCTCAACTTTTCCAGCCGTCCAAATAATCATCCGACTTTCGAGCCTGCACCAAAGACATCGATACTTAACCGTCTGCTCTGTTATATCATCTACCTTCGCTACGTACGTTTCATAGAAGTTTTAAATAGAAAGAGAGTCATAAAATGCAAAGTTCTACCCATGCTTCGAACCGCAAAAACGAAAGAAGAATATAGGGGACGTAACAAAGCTTTAAAAGTAGAATTAATTTCCAAAGTGGAAGGTCCCGAAAATGGAAATCCGTGGCTGTATTTATAATAGAACCGGGTTATCGATCGAAACATTCGTTCGTCCCAGTGGCGCCTAATCGTAATTTCAAGAAAGATCCACGTAAGATTCACGTAAAACTCACGTCGACATGAAAAGAAAATTCGCCTCGTCGCGTCGCATCGCGTTGGATCTACTAAAGGGTTTTCGCAATGATGGAAAAGTCAAACAGAAATAGGCGCCGCGCGAGCAAGTTCGAAAGAAGTTCGCGGAAAAATCAAGGAGAACGGAAGTCTTCCGGGAAACGAGGCGTCACGAAACCGCACCCGCCACGGATTCCAGAAATATTCATTTTAATGGTTGATATAACGCGGATATTGGTTACCGTCGAAACGGTACGTGTCCGGAATTCCGGACACTATCACACGCCGCGCGGAATATACGATATAAAAGGCGGTATTTGAAATCGGGATCGAGCGAAAGCGAAATATCCCTCTGAATGTTCGCCGACTATCGCTGCCCGTTTACCTGTCAAACGCGAACTTTCATCCACGACGATTAACTCCGTCGACAAAGAAAGTTTATTCTTTCGTTTTACTGTTTCCCGCGCGACTCAGTTGTTACTGAAGTTACTAAACTTTACATAAACGCCATGAGAATGTTTTTCACCTTTTTACCACTTGACTTTTTAAGTAAAAAGGAAAAAAAAGAAACGGTTGATTAATCCGTATGACCTAGAAGAACGTTGCTTGTGTTGCACAATGCGATTTGCAATATCTTGCTTATCAAAGGAGAGAATTAACTTGGCATTTTTTAGGAAAAATCCAGTTTCTGTTTAACGATTGTTTAACATGAAAATAATCGTTAAATACCGAATCGTTAAATACATAGTTAACGAATCTGTCAGAATGACGGATTTCAATTTCCTCTCTTTTTCAATTACCGGGTATATGCAGATGTTTTTGATAAAATTGATATGAACTTTTATTGAAATATGAATATATTCTGCCGTTTTATTTTCCTCATACAATTTTAATTAGAATTATTTATATAGTGTGCAGTTGCGTACACACGAGGGACCTAAAATAATTATTTCGAAAATTGAATAAAGTCGCGTGAATATGAATGACGTGTTTTTAAAACGCTTTTGTCAAAAGATCGGAAAATGTTTGAATTGGAGAACGTATTATTGGAAACAAGTAAAGTTAAAAGTATGAAATTAATTCACACATTCAACGTTTCAATGAATGCTATCAAAAAATGTATGATTACTCTAACCAACTCAAGAGAGAAACGACGAAAGCATCGCGTCGCTAATCATCCACGAAAATGTCGTTAGTTTGCCGGATACAGGCAATGGAAGGAAGAATCTCGGGGAAAAATATTGAATTTATTTTTTTCGAAGCAGTTCGTTTCAACCACGGCGAACTTCTTATTCAAATGGAGTCGCGGATCGTGCATTGAATGCAAATGACCGAGACATAACGCGATAGGGGCTCCGGTTTCTCTTTTTCTCCCTCTGTCTTTCTGAGTAAGAGATGCACGCGCGCGCGCGTGCGAA